GATGTTTGTAAAAAAGCTTATCGTAATCTCGGGTTTCTTCTAAGGAACGCAAATGAATTTACGAACATCGCAGCACTGAGAGCCTTGTACGAGGCATTAGTTAAAAGTCATCTGGAATGTAATTCTTCTATCTGGTCTCCCCATCAAATCAAATATAAAGTAATGTTGGAACGCATACAAAATAAATTTATTAGGTTTTTATATTTGAAGGTATTCGGTGGGTACCCAGGGTATCCATTGTTGTATCCCACACTGTTTGTTTTGGGCATGGTGGGATATTACAGGCTGGAAGTGAAGAGAGAAGTAGCTTTAGCCACGTACGTATTTAAAGTGTTACGTGGATTGATACACAACCCAGCTATCCTACAGGAGATCTCACTTTGTGTGCCTAACGATTACGTGACACGGCGGAGGTGCCCGCGCTTGCTTGCGGTACCGCCCGCGCGCACCAATCTGCTGCATTGGGCGCCGTTTACGCGCGCGCTGCGTGCGCTAAATGCGGTGTCGGAACTGTCGGATCATTTTGACGTTTTTTCGTGTTCGCTCAATGAGTTCACAAAGGCCATATATTGCGTACTGAGTAGTTCTAGTTCTTAATTATTATTATTTTTTTACGTATTTTTTCATAGATTTGTTTGTTTTTTTTTTTTTTTGTAAGTCTTGCATTATTGTATTGGTCTAGCTGTAATAATAATGTATAGTATGGTGTAAATAAATAAAAATAAATAAAAAAAAAAAAAAATTAGGTGTTCGATCCAAGAATCCATCCATAATAATATTGGTAGTATAAAACTTATAAATGGCGTAAATACGTTTCGTATGCTAATTTTATTTCGCTACTGAGCGCCTTATATTTTGATAAATTATCTTCCCTAACTTTAACATTTTAAAATATTTTATTTCAAAACGTACATAATCCAGAAATGAAAGTCTCAAACTATTGCAGCGGTTTTATTACTTACTATTACTACGGTACGGTACTATTACTATTACTCGACGACCGGATGGCGTAGTGGTTTGTGTAACGGAGTGCTATTCCAAAGGTCGCGGGTTCGATTCCCGCTCAAGTCAAACATTTGTGTGCATGAACATTTGATGTTTGATTTGGTTTGGGTGTTTCTAATATGTATGTATTTAAAAAAAAGTATATATGTATTTATATCAGTTGTCTAGTGCCCATAGTACAAGATTTGCTTAGTTTAGGACTAGATGGCATTGTGTGTATGTGGTAGAATATTATATTAGAATGTTATTATTTTTAACTTTTGTATTATTTGTTTAAAATCTATATTTACAACAGCAGTTTTTTTTTAAATGTTGTTGTATTTATCGGATATTTACAACAAATTTACAATGTTGCATTTTTATCTCATAATTATCATAACATGACACAATCTTGCCTTGTTTTAAATGACTTTGGCAGAGCGCATGGCTATGCCATAGTCATTTCGACACAAAATTTCTCGACCAAAGTTGCTCGGCCTCACAGAAAACTGTTTTTTCATTGCTTTTCACCAAGGGACTGAGGTTGTCGAAACCCAACCCCCCTCGCATTTGATTCAGGCCGGGAGGGACTGAAAAGGCGACATCGCACTTGTGACTTTCGTGTTGCGTGTACATGCGCGGAGGTAGCCACTTACCAACCGGTTGACACAAAACTTACGTATTTTAGTAACTTCTGTCAAAGTACTACTAATTATTGATGGAATAAAATCACAATCACATACCATAAATCGTATGATTTACAAATTATATCACCACACCTGTGACTGATTTACAAAACCACAGCTGCTTAATTATTATTATAACGATAGGGCAAGACTCGCGAAAGGTCTAAATCTAAAACAAAAGGTCGTAATCTTGGACAAAAATAATTATGATTGATTTTCATGCCATTTATCTGTATATGACGAAATCACAATCACATGTGACTAAAACTAATCATTGCCTCAAATGAATACGATTTAAAGTAGCAATAATTTCCATGTCTATTACTAATTTACCTCACAAAATGGCGGCGGCGATAAAATTGCTAAAAAAATATTCTTTATTATAATAATGAAATTCAAAAGACCAAAAAAAGCTTTTCTCTTTTTTTATAGAAAAATTCGATAATAACCCAATTCACCAATGATTCAATGGCAAAAACACTCGTAATTTTGACAAAAACCAATTTACTCTTTGCTAAAATAAAATGGCCGAAAAATATATAGCATGCGCGTCATGCATTCGGCCTAACTGAAATTGCTAAATTGAATTTAAGTGGACATGCTCCAGTTTTGAACACTGCGCTGGACAAGTCGCCATATTTCAAATTAAATAGTATTAAGTATATATTAAAAAGCTAGTGCCAAAAGTGGTTAGGACAGCATGGCTGAAACAAAATTTTAACAAGATGGAGAACATTTTAAAATGTCTAAAGAATAATAGGAACGTAAGTTATTGCTTCCTTTGCTAGTTATAATTTTACTTCCAAACAAATACACATATTCACTATTTACAATATGCGCTTATTTTTAATCTGTACACTTACATATTATGCTTGAATTTTACCTAAACTTTACATTTCATAATCTGCCTTTCTCTGTTATAGACGCCATACGGGGCGATGAGTCACCTGATGCACACACGCAACTCAAAAGATACAATGGTTTTGTCACCCTTTATGTGGTGACGGTTTAAGAATACAGAGTGTCACCACCCCTAACAAACAACTACCTAAACAAACATTATACCCCGCCTGGCCAGGGTGGTATAGTAGGCCAAAACCTCCTTTCTAAGGAGAGGTATGGCAACCGGGACCTACGGCTTACCGTGTTCTCCGAGGCACGGAGTTGTCTCAATGTGTTGAGAATGGTCACCCACACATAGACTGACCTGACTAGGATTACTTAACTTTGCAATGTGTTAACCGACTCGTTTACCACTTAGCCATGAGCCCCTAAGTAACATTGACTGTTTTCTCAATATTTCATCATAAAAGTTTTAGTACAGTTTATCACTCGACTCAATCTTCTCCCAGAGTGCTTTTACTATACACATTTATATCTATAAATGCATTTATAGAGCTCATTTTCTACGTAAGTAACTAATGAATACTTTGAATGGAGGTTTGAAATGGTGTGTCGTTTGCCAAGTACCTATCTTGTTTCAGAGAATTAAGTTACATTTCGTAACGAAATAGAGTAAGGCGTCGAGGAAGAAAAGAAACGACGTGAGGGGTCTATAAACCTCCAGTCGGAACTAAGTTTCTTTCGCTGTTTGGTACTTTTTTCTTTTCTTTAAAGATAATTCCCGTACTAGGAACAAATCCTGTGTCGCGGGGGACATGAAACGGACGAAGGATACCCAGACTCAGAACAACAATTTGTGGATCACACAAAGTGTCTTCCCATGTGGGGATCGGACCCACAACACTCAGCGTAGTAGTAAGCGGCGTGGTGACCGCTTAGACCACTATGCCATCCGTGCAGTCAAGTCAAGTCAGATGTTTACTATACAGCTTGCTTTAAACTAAAATTGTCGGCAAAAAGTGTAAAGCGGGATATGGAACCTCGTTCCGATATATTGAATTTGAAAATGGAATGCTTATTTTGTATACAGTTGCGTCTTGTCTATGTTATGTGGTGACAAGCAAGCTGACGAGTCACCTGTTACTAATGCCGCCCATGGACATCTACAACTCAAGAATCACAAACACGTTGCAGCTTTTTGAGTCCCCCTCCTCCTCAAATATTAGCGGGGGTTTGGGGCACTGGTAAATTCTCTCACTAGATGAAAAGCAATGTTCGAGCTGGAAATGAGATATTGCCGTTAGTTCCAAAACCATCACTAGATGGCGCTACTCGAATTATGAACGAGCAAGCAAGAATTACCAACATCTCTATATGACATGTAGCATATTTTTCATAGCTGTAGAACCAAGAAAATCAATTAAGTGTAGTTCTCGCCAAATGGATTTTATAATCCTCAAGATTTTTGGGACTTGTCCAAGTAACAAAAGAATTGCTCAACACCACCACTAAAATATTCTATAAGGTCATAATATAAAATATTACCATGAAAAACAAAATACAGGCATATTCACGTAATATGCAAAAATCGTCTAAATTGAATTCGACTGGATAGATACCATGGCGCCACAGAAAAGCGATATTTTTTTTAAACTTTTTTAAAATTCGAATGTCATCCTACACAATCAGATGATAAAAACCCGTTCAGATTTCAATTTATTTGAACATGTTTCGTTGATCGGTATTTAAAATTTAAAACGTTATTGAACAAACCCAGGGGATAGCATTAAAATATTATATTCATGATGATCAATTACTGTACATATTTGGAAAACACGTCACTTACCCTGTGTTGCATGTTAATTAATGAGGATGAAAACCTATTTTGTGTTTGTATTACTACTTTCGTAATTATCGTATGTATATTAAAATTATGGCGATCGGAGCGATGTCATCGTCGGTTGTAATGGAAAATGCATTTTATCGGCTCTGATGCCTTTTTAAATTCATAGTTAAGCTTAATTATCCGTAAAGTAGGGTGCGTAACATTTTAAACTTTGCTTTTTATTATACAGTTTTATCTGTAGTAGGTATTTTCCTTTTAATAAATAAATACCCTTTTTTTCTGTATGTCTTACCACTTACTTGTATGTCGGACTCGAACCACACGCCGTCTCAGGTACCAGTAGTCGGGGAACCAGGTGTACCCTAGAAAGGAAATCCCTGGTGCCCCGACCTACCTCAGGCCATCTACGGCGTGTAGACGACCCCCCCTGTTTCGGAATCCCGATGTTCCCTCTGTGCTCCCGGAAGGGCGCGCGCGCATCGCATTGCGCTCGCCGCCATCCTGCCATCCCCATAATACCCTCAAACATTTTTAGTTTGTAGAGGTTTAATTTGTTTAAAACATAACAAATTCCTTTGCTTAAAAGAACGCAAATCATGATTTAATAAATAAAACAAAGAATATTTCTACATCTAGATTTATTACCACTGAGGGCGTTTAATATCACAGCCAACAGGATTATACTTTAGTTTAATAATATTTGTTTCATCTGAATATATTAAATTGTTATCTCTATCAAACGCTAGACCATATATGTTCTTCATGTCTAATATTTTTTTAAAGCCTTCAAATTTACCATCAGCTAAAACCCCTATATTTGTACACATATATGTGTCTCCTTCGTTGTCCTCAACAATCTGTCTGACTGTTATTAGTTCAGAAACAGATTCAGCTTCCATTTTTTCATTATCATATTTAAATAACCCTGTTTTATTAGCATAATATATTGTATTACTACTAGTTACATGAAAGTGATCAATTTCGATATTTTCAAACTCTTTCACCTTAGCAAATTTACCGTCGTATTGAATATGTAATTTCTGATCTGGATAACTAATATAAAATAAATTCTTTTTGAAGAATAGTGACCAGATATTTTTTCCTTTTTCCTTGTAAAAGTCTGCTAGCTTCGTCAGCATATTATATTTATATATACCATCACTTCCTCCTAAGAAAATATCATCATTCAATTGATCTATAGCTACGGAACAGCCCCCTTTGATACCAGCTATGGTCTGGTACTCCTTTGTGTCTAAATTATACTGTCCCAGTTGAAAATCAACGTCTGAGTAAGATTCAGGTAGAGAATAACTGAAGAAAAGTGTATTAGACGACTTATGCACGTTTAAATTGTATGGTTTTCCAAGGTTGGACCAAAAAACTTCTTGATCATACCAGTTTTCTCCAATTTTGAGCCTGTTGCAAGCGATTTCTGGGACAGCTTCGACGTATGATGTCAGGATTGTTAGTACAAGATACCAAGTGCTGGCCATTTTATGCAACCTGTAAAATGTTAAAAGCGTTATTAAAAATTGTTATTATATTTTTAATATACCTTCACTGTTAAGCTTAGCGTTTTCAATTCAAGACCTGCAATATTTTTTCATGGACGCTTATCAGCCTACATACTAAGAATCAGATAATGCAGAAGCCAATTTTTTACAACCAGCTAGCTATACAGCACAAGAAGTATCGTAATACCAAACTTAATCAATTTTTCATAAAATTGTTTGTCTATTTTGTCACCTATATGTTGTTTTATCCTTTAAATATCTCTTAACATAAGGTAAACAATACGAAAAGAAGATAAATATCTTCTTATTACTTTACTTACATTCAACTGGGTTATTGTGACATTTTAATAATATGGATAAAATTTTAGTAGTTTTTTTTATGTTAGAGGGGGCAGACGAGCAGACGGGTCACCTGATGGAGGTGCTCCGTGAGGTAACGGATTAAGAATACAGAGTGTCATCACCCCTATTCATCCCGTGGGTGTCGTAAGAGGCGACTAAGGGAGCAAAGTCAGGACAACATCACTGCAGAGAGAAGGAAAACTTGACACAAACCCTATACCAAACCGTCTGGCCAGCGTGGTATAGTAGGCCAAAACCTCCTTTCTAAGGAGAGGTCTATGTCCAGCAGTGGACTAATAAAGGCTGTTGATGATGAGGTGTTCAAAAATAATTAACTCATGACTATTATCATCATTAGCCTATCGACCTTCACTGCTGAACGAAAGCCTCCCATAAGTAGCGCCAACTACTAATTACTTATGACTATAACAAAACTTTATTAATTCTAAATAAACAAGCAAATATGATGTTTAAAATGATTTAGATTTAATGAGAACTCTACTTCAAATGTCAATTGAAGTACACAAAACAGCAAAACATAATAAAAAATAAATAATAACTTACATGGATATGAGGTATTTAAAATCCATTACAAAAGAACAAAGTTGAAACAAAGCTGGGAACTGATAATGTCTGACACATGTTTCTTTACCGAAAGCCTTTGGAGAATAAGACTATCGTTATGTTATAAGATAATTGTTATCTTCCAGTTGTTTAGTTTTGTCATCGGATGACGAATGAACTAAACAATGATCAATGAAACAATAGCTCCCTTCACCGCTTTGAGAACTTTGAACAATATATAGCATAATAATAAATAAATAACCGTTTTCATGAAGTGTGGTGACGAATTGAGAATACGGATTATCACTACCCCTATTCATCCCGTGGGTGTCATAAGAGCCGACTAAGGGAACAAACTACGCAGGACAACAGCATTGCAAAGAGAAGGAAAACTTGAAAGAAACCCTATATAAACCCGTGTGGCCAGTATGGGATCATCATCATCAGCCTATCGCAGTCCTCTGCTAGTCATAGGCCCCTCCCATTGCACGCCACTTCGATCGATTTTCGGCTTCTCGCATCCAGCTCCTGCCAGCCATTTTACACAAATTGTCACTCCACCTGGCCTGTGGACGTCCTACACTGCGTCTACCGAGTATAATAGCCCAAAACCTCCTTTCTAAAGAGATCCTATGTCCAGTAGTGTCTACTGCTGGATATTGGCCTCTCTATTAAAGACCATTGATGAGGGTTAGGAGGATGATAAATTATGTGAGGTATATATTACCTACTAAGTATTGAGATGAAATTTATTCCAGATATTTACGGCCATGTCATATTATCGTTTACTATAGTCGTTTAATAGCTTCAAAAACAAATAACTCTTTTCTATATAGCGTGTTATAAATTTTTATGACAATTATCAAATTGTCATAAAAATTTATAACACGCCATATATATTCTCTGAGAATAAACTGACATCAGTTAGTTTATTCTCAGAGACTATTTTATGATTCTAAAATATGACGATACATTTCTGTAAAATCTTGCACAACCAATTTTTTTTTTTTTTTTAATTGATAACTTCTTTTGGGAGGGTAAACCGCTTCGTAACGTAACGCGTTACGGCGCAAGTTTGTCTGGCTTTCCTTTTTCTCACGCATACGGCAGCAGTAGGCATGCTCCTCCTCTCTAACTCTAACCCACAGCGCTAGCCATATTTCGGACAGCCGCTTTACTTAAAATTTAAGTAATAACTTAAGCTGTTCTTAAGTTAAACAATTTTAATGTTAAATAGTTCAACTTAGATTAGTTTAAGTTATCACTTCTATCGGGCGTCCCGAGACGCACACATTAAAAAAAAAAAACTCTCTCAGTATTAATATATCCTGTGTCGCGGGGGACTTTACAAACATACATCAAACCGACACAAAGAACACCCAGACTCAGAACAAGAGTTTGTGGATCACACAAAGTGTCGTCCCATGTGGGGATCGCACCCACAACACTCAGCGTAGTAGTGCGCGGCGAGGCAACCGCTTAAACCACTACGCCATCCGTGCAGGTTTACTTTTTGAACCTAAGACAAATAGATATTATACCAGCAAATGAATTTGACATATTTCTGAAATTCAAGTAACTTGAACTATTTATGAATCAGCTAATATTCGTGATCACTTTTTCAGCCTTCATCTTTTAGTGTGACTTATACAAAACTATTCTTAAATGTAATTGATATTAACGTTTTTGTTTTTTGTTATAATCTGACGTAAAAATGAATTGAGCTTTACAAGACAGTGTTTTATCTTGTTATTCTATATTATACTAGCTGACCCTGCAAACGTTGTTTTGCTATTTACATTATTTAATTATTTTTTTTTTGAATTCCTTAAAATCCGTTCTTAGCTGACCTCTACTCGGTGAAAAAAATATTCCTACCAAATTTCAAGTCTTTAGCTCTAATGGTTCCAGAGATATTGTGATGAGTGACTTTATACGTGGAAATCTCTTATATATATATAGATTAGCGACATAGTTGGGTGTGACTGTGATAATTTTAAAAAGAAAAGGGAACCGAAACATAATTTTGCTTTCCTTTAGACAAATAAGATATTACAAGTACCTTTTTAACACGCTTTTATTAGCTTAGTATGTATGTATGTAACAGAATCTTCGAACGTGATTTTGACCCACTTCATCATCATCATCAACAGCCTATACCAGTCCACTGCTCTGCACTATTGGTCTGGTGAGTTTAGTTTAGTTGAGTTTATGTGTAGGGATTTGAATTCGTTCCTCAAGACATGCATTCCTCCTGATGCTGATGTGTATCATGACAGGGAGAACCAGTTTCGTGCAAAAATATGGAAATCATTTGGCAAACCTCGAAATAAAAACTGATAAGTATGTACTGATCGTTACTGCAACCACTAAACTCATATTAAGTGTTACTTAACTGATTGTGAGTAAATAAAGCAAGAACCTTCGCCTAACGTAATAACCTAGGTGGAAATACAATTGCCATCGCATTGTTGTTGCAGTATTGTACACGTAGAATAAGTAAGAAAATATTTTTAGACTTTAACTATGCCAGAAACTGTACGTTATTTTTGCTGTGTAATTTATAATCTCTGTGAAAGTCTTACTATAACAACTGTTTTACTGTAGCAATTAAATATGATATAGTGTGTTTTTTAAGACGTTTGTGTTATATGTACAATATTTTTTTGGCCACGGCTTCGTCCATTTAACAGTTTTTTCTTGTTTTCACTACTTTTTTCAGAATATCGTTTTTTCTGTATTCCTAATCTATACTAATAGTATAAAAAGGTAAAGTTTGTGAGTTTGTATTTTCGTGGTAATCTCCAGTACCACTCATCCGATTTTGAAAATTCTTTTCCAATTAGAAAGGTGTATTATTACCTTTCGCCAGATCATATTCCCTATGAATATTGAATTATAAAGTGAGTGGAATATACTAAATGTAAGACAATACTTTAACATACAATCAGTTCTTATAAAACACCAGATAAAACCATAAATCCATAAGCGTAAAAAAGACAAAGTGTGTACAGGCCTACATTCACGTTTGTCTTTTGTTAAAATATTCTTTTACTTTATTGGTTCTTCTTTATACAATAAAATAAATAAACATTGCCCAGTATACGGCTTAATATACTAAAACCACAGGTACACATACACACACATGTACTTAGTTCGTATAGTTCTTAGTTCGTATATTGCTTTATAAATAAATAAATAATCTACTTTTTTTTCTTTTATTCTTTGTCGGCTGTTAATTATACCACGCTTAAGTAGCAGTAAAATACAGACGTACCTACTCAAATAGTAATATTACATAATCTATTGTTATCCATAGGAGGAATGGAACTCACACACCTTCACACAGGTTATAAAGTAACTTAGTTAGATCAGAACCGCACCCACTATAGTTGTAGCATACAAGTAATTTTACCATAATCTGCTGTACTGCACTATTTTTGAAATTGTCAATAAAACCTTATTATTATTAACATTATCCCCGAGTGCTAGAGACCACTTTGTACCACGATAACCGACGTGGAGCCGCAGGCAAAAGCTAGCACTAAATATAATTTTGGGATGACCCACTGTGCAATAAACAATTCACACTCACACACCTAATACTAATTAAAATTAAATGCGTTACTTGCATTACCACTACTATTACCATCACAAATTTTACTGTGTAAAGTATTCCATCTAAAAGTTTTCTGTCAAAAAGCTCGCAGATTTCCATTTTATATCATTAAAGTATAACAAATTATGGATTGCAATTATACAGGGCTACTGGGTAAGTTGACCTAGATACTTTAAGGGGTTGTAATTGCCATCATTTCACGGTTCACAGATTTCACTATAAAATACCATATCCTAAACCTAACCATATTTGGTTATAAAATATTGGACTTTTAAGATTTTTTTTGTTTTTTAACCTCCTTTCTAAGGAGAGGCCTGTGTCCAGCAGTGGACTATTATAGGCTGTTGATGTGATGTGATGTGAAGTTTTTTTATAAAAATTGCCGAAATTTAGCCCAATACAATGTTTTTAGAACTTATATCCTTGATTTTATGCCTTTTTTACTGTTTTTGTCGAGTTGACATATTGTTATTAACTTGTAAAAAAAAATTGTAGTTAACTTAACAAACAGGGCCGAAGTAAATGGTTAATAATAGCAAAAAGAAATAAATTTGTAATTTTTTTGTTCTTTGACTAATAATACACAAAAAAAATATGTCAGTTAAACTGCAGTTTTATTAAAAAACATTGACGTATTCTCAGCTATCTAACAAGGTATAATAGTCTAGGATAGTATCAGAATTTATATAAATAAACTTAGATGAAAGACCGGGAGTGTCAAGAATTAGCGTATCTAGTTGAAAATTTGCATTGAAATTGTTTCGTTTTCTGCTTAACTATTGCTAAGTGGACTTTGATTTGTGTTTCTGATACTGTTGAGACCAGGGAAACGAATATCTTTTTTTTTAGAATTTTTCTTCTATTAAAGGGTTATGTGACCACAGCCTAGTTTAGGAAAAAGGCTCGAAGGAAGTAAGGCAATTGTTCTGCTAACTTTTAGCAATTTGCCTTGCAAGTAATCATCACATTACATCATCACATCAACAGTCTATAACAGACCACTGCTGGACATAGGCCTCTCCTTAGAAAGGAGGTTTTGGCCTACTATACCACGCTGGCCAGACGGGCTGGTACAGTGTTTGTGTCAAGTTTTCCTTTTCTTTGCAGTGCTATTGTCCTGCGTAATTTGCTCCCTCAGTCGGCTCTTACGACACCCACAGGATGAATAGGGGTGGTGACATTCCGTATTCTTAATCTGTCACCACACGGAGCACCTCTGTATTCATAAAATACTCTTATACTCTCAACCAATCTTTGGAACGGGTTATCGTCTGCTGTATTTCCGAACCGATACGACCCTCAAACCTTCAAGAAAAGAGCGTACCACCAAGTAACGCAACCAGCAAGTAATGTTTACTTCTTATTTACCTTTGATTACTACGTATATTTCTGAAAACACTTAGGTATTAATTTATGTATTTAACATCTTAGACATAAATTATTTAGAAATTAAACTGCGAGAAAACTAAATAAGATTTATGAATAATACAGTTATAATCTTTAGAAGGGTCTGAAGCGGAAACAGTTTATCCCTTTTGCGCAAAATGATTTTAATACATATATGAAACTAACGCAGATTAATGTGAGCGTTATGTCAAAGCCCTCAATTTACGTTGTTGCTTAATAAATAACCCGCTTATAACTTTTTATTTATTAAAGACATTCCAAATGTTTTTTTGACTCGTGATTAATATTGTTTTATCTTCGTTTGCAAAAGGATTTCCTTATTCTAAGTAATTTAAATTGGAATAGATGCTTAAAATATTCCCATATCTTTTTGCCTTCCTAAGGTCAAAAAATATGTTTTAAATATTTAAACTTACTAGTGTACTTACTATGGTCAGTCAAGGGAGTTACGACAAAACAGACTTTGGGGCAACCTAAATTCGGATTCAGGCAATTTCAAGAGCTAAAAAAACATAAAGAAAATTTAAACAACTTCAAAAACAAAGGAGTTAAAACCTTTTAATTTTTAAATTATTATCTACTCGTATCATCTAAAACAAAAAACCGACACTGATTCACTGACTATTCGATCAACGTACAGCTGAAACCGCTAGGTCTAGAAACATGACATTTGCACAATTATTCCTTAGATGACGTAACATTTTTGTTTAACTTATCCATTCCAAACTCTCTGTACAATAATTATATTCTCTATCAAAAATAATAATAATATGACACTTATTTTTTAACTTTTCAAAACGTAAGAAACACCAGGAAACCTTTTTGACGTGATTAAATAACAAAACACTTATGTATTGAAAAGTTCGTCCAGATGGACGAGCCAGATCCAGATAGCCCTTTTGATGTGATTTGGCACATAAATAGATTATATTCTACAATAGCACAGAGTCTACTATTTGTCTTGGACAAATTTATTGACAGAAGTGACATTTATACGAGCAAAGCCGAGGGCATAAGCTAGTTTCAAATATAAGACAACTAAATAGTAATAAAAGGTTATAGAGTAACTTACAAAGTAATGGATAATATTGCAATAGGCCAGTTAAATCTTCATGACGATAAAATAGCCACATCAAAATTAAACCTTCTAATTTTAGAAAAAAGTTAGACATTGTTCTTATACAAGAACAATGTCAGAAAGCTTGCTTTTGTAATAATGTAGTTCAGCTAGATTTCCGGTCGTGACAATGTTACTGTAAAAATAAAATCGTGGGTGTGTGTGTATGCGTATATGTAACTTTAAAAATAAACTGTTTTCATTTAAATTAGTCGAGTCACCATTGTGTCAATGCTCCACAGCTGACTCTAACTGTGAACAGTCTGCTCATCATATCCTCTGGGAATGTAGTCTTTGGTATAATTAACGTTATATAATGCTGAATAGCTTACAGGTGATAGCTGGGGCGGTATATTGTGGGGATCTTGTGTCAGCGAGAGTCAATTTCCGTGAGTTTAGGTTATTCTGCGGTACATATTATAGAAATCAAATATAGTTTACTTAGGACCCATGTTATTTTGTGGTCAAAGGCTTCCCTGTTTAAAAGGGTGTCCCGAATGTCATACCTTGGTGTGTTCGTGGATCACTGCTGTTAATCCTGGTGTACAGAACTTACAGTGGTGGCAATGTGCGCTTTAGTTCCGTTAAAAAAAGTACAAAATTCAGAGTAAATTGCTATTTTTATTTTTTGTCTACAACTTGATACTCTTAACCTAACTTAACTCTACAACTTTAGCTAATTTTAACTAATTAAGATGTGGGATTGTCTTGGTTCTTCTTTCTTTGCATCAGCATTTAGTATAGCATTTAAACATAATCTGCTGTATTTACTTGGTAGTAACCGATAAATTGCATCTTTATCTGAATAGATTATTTGATCTTTTTCATCAAAAGTCATTCCAAATGCCTGATCAATACTAGCAACTTTTTTTACTTTGTGGTAAGGTTTCTCTTCAACATACATTCCATCACTTGCACAGAAGTATATATCTCCATAAACATCTTCTGCAATTTGTCTCACAGCAATTTCATCATTTAAAACAATGGGTTGCTTATCAGGTTTTGCCACTTTGTATAATGCTGTTTTATTTGCAAAATAAATATCTATATGTCTAGAGATGTAGAAAGTATCAATTTCGATATCTGTAGCTTCTGATACCTTTACAAAGTTGTCGTCTTGGTACACATATAATTTCTGTGTAGGATATTCTATATAATAAAAATTTCTTCGAACGAATATGGCCCATATTGATTTGCCTTCTTCAGCGAAGAATTCAGCTGACTTAGTTAGAAAATTGTACTTGTAAATACCGTCGTGACCACCAAAATAGATGTCGTCATTTCCCCCATCGTAAGCAACGGCGTAGCCACCTGGTACCCCCTGAATATCTCTACAGTTACGTTTGTCTATGTGGCAGGCCATGATCCCAAAATCTACTTGAGAACCATTTTGGATTGTATGACTAAAGAACAAGACTCCTGAGAATCTGTAAACAATAAAAGCACATAGTAAATAATATTGTATTAAAGAACTATTGCAAGGTATTGTAATCACAGGAATAGTAATAGCTGTGTTGTGTCTATCTCGTTCGTTCTCCTCGGGGTATCTGCATAATTAACAAATTAAAATGCAATATTTGTTTGTAAAATACAGGAATTATTGTAAAAAAATTAACTTGAAGTGACTTTGCAAGTTTTTGCAATGTATAATAATTATCATAATCATCCTTTTTACACGCTTTATATTAGCTTCACTTTTATGTTTGTATGTTTGTTTGTAACCGACTCCTTTGGGCGTTATTTTGACTGACTTTAAACGGTCAGCATTCGTTCAAACTTTGTAGATATGTCGAGAACCGATTACAATACACTAATTTAAAAAATAAATTTAAAAAAACGCTTTTTATAGAAACCCAAACCCACGCTTTTTTTCAAATTTATTAAAATTTATTTTCTATTTTTTGGTTTGGGTTTCTATAAAAAGCGTGTTTTTTAGTTTTTTAAAACTTTTTTTTTAATTTTTATCATTGTACACATGTATTCGGAGTCAAACGGTATAACTGCTGGCTTTTGTCTTCCCGTCAAATTATTTTGCAGCGCGTTAGAACTTCTAAATTACTGATGTTAAGCTAGCTGAGGTCATTTATGTAAATAAAAACAGTGCGAGTACACTGCCCTACAGAACACCACAATTCAACTTAACCTCATTACTAATGAAATCGTTTGTGATGACGCTTCTGCACACGAGTTTTTTACCAAATTTAAGGCTAAACATGTTACTGCTATGTCTTCTATTTATTAAACAGACAAAAAATTATATGTGTATATATTTTTGTCTGTTTTTTCAGACAATTAAATTGTATCTTTGCGTTCAGCTCATAAAAATACTCAGTCTTTGTGAGAACATCATTTATTACCAAGAGATTTCTCAATATATATTTTATAATTGGCTGTTTAAATATATTGTAATTAATTCATTAAATTATAATGATTAAACAGAAATTCATTAAAGGGAATCAATGTATTTTACAAACACAATTGTTTTAAAATATTAATTAAATTCAGCTACTACTACAGCTTACATGTTGTACTTTTGTTATTTTACTTGGATTGTTTTTAATAGAATATTTCAATAAAGTCTTCATTAATTTTTGACATTAGAGCATTTGAATATTAAATAAATTCGACGTATTGTAATGTCATAAAAGGACAGACTGGAATTGAAAATTTAGGCGAATCTACACAAGAGAAAAATATATTCATAACTTTACTGGAAAGTTCTCCTATACTGTTATTATCTGGCTGTACATAAAATTCATGTATACTTGGCACTGAACTGGGAATCTGAGTATTAAATTAATTATGAACGAATAAGTAAAAATCTGGGTCAACACTAAAGTTAAGAATTGGAAATTCTACAGTAATGATTACTCCATGAATCATTTAAATAATAATAATAATATATCTCACACACTCACACACGGCCGTCTGATCCCAAACTAGGCAGAGCCTGTACTATGGTAACCAGACCGCTGATAAACATACTTATATATTTCTAAATACATACATATTATAGATAAATTACACCCAGACACAGAACAAATGACCGTGCTCATCACACAATATTTGTCCTGGGTGGGAATCGAACCCACGACCTCCGGTTTAGCAGTCAGGGTCACTAACCACTAGACCAACAGGCCCGTCAAAAAAATTATTTTTATTTACATGTGAAGTATTTTGCTATTAATCAAGAAATTATCAGAATCTCATTTTAACTATTGTTATATAAATATGTATTACAAGGTTTACTTACTTGTGCATCATCAAATTGTAGGGTCTTCCGAGGCCATCAAACAGCAGCTCCTTGTCGAAATACACATCATGGAATATCACGCCATCACACATTATAAGTTCTGAACCATTATCTGACCTACTCAGACGGCCAGCATCAGTAACCGGCAACAGTAATAGGACCAGAAAGAACATCTGGATGCTGGAAAAAATATAAAATTATTGATTATTTAAAGTGTAATTGTAGATATAATTTGATATCGAGGCGAACGGCATCACGGACTAGTATTAAGACCCTTACTGACTGTAAAGTAGACACTGTAATTCATTTTATATCACTTGATCTAAAAACACCAGAACGACTAGATAATGACTCTACTGGAGCTTTTGATAATCACATCAACAGCCTTTAATAGTCCACTGCTGGACATAAGCCTCTTCTTAGAAAGGAGGTTTTGGCCTACTATACCACGCTGGCCAAACGGGTTGGTATAGGGTTTGTGTCAAGTTTTCCTTCTCTCTGAAGCTGATGATAGCTATGTAAAAACCTACGTTAGTCTTCTACGAAGTCATGAGCAATTAACCCGAAATATGATCACAAGAAAGGCCAGTGGACGGCGATAGGCTAATGATGATGATGATGATCACAACACTTTTATAAAAGCCACTTCTAGCTTCACTCTCAGAAATACATTTATATTACTTAGCCTAGAGACGTCCACACTTAATTATAAGTATATCATAAATGGCTTTAACTCAACAGACAAGGACAAAACGGCTGAATCAAAAGAAAATATTTTTGTCTCATGTTCTATGCGCAGTCTACATAATAGACACAAAGAAAAATTAAACAAAACAAAGATTCCTTGTCATCCTTTCTTAAGATGTATAGAAAATAAAGCGAATTAACACAATTCATTGAATCGATGATAAAAACGATAATACTCGCAGAAAGTCTTCCATTACATACTCTGATAATTGTTTAAAAATTATGCAAGCTCCTATAAGCGTGAACAGATTGAAAAAAACATTAAAAAAATAAAATAAAAAGAAAACTCTAAATCTTACTTAAAGGACTAAAACCCGCAAAAAAAGAAATACTTAATATTATTATTTTTCACTGCAAAACGAGACCGTGAGTCGTGAGTCGAACCTCCTTGCCGAAATTGCATTACATACTAAAAATTCTATTCGAAAGTATGATAACTCAAGTGCAGAAGAAAATGAACGATCTCATAACTAGTATTTTAACAGTATAGATTGCTATAAAATAATATAAATATTATCCTGTGTTTCAATCGAACATCGGAGTATTTTCTTTGTCTTTAAAACCTTTGTGCTATGTGACGTCATTTTATTGTACTAGAATATAAAAGCTACTGATTTCATACCTACATTGTTTCAATTATATGGATTGTGTTATTCTCCAAGAGCATTAGTTCCACTGGAATTGAGTTGTTATATAATTTGAGTTACTACAGAATGCAGTGGAGGCTCATCTCAAAAACTCTCGGAGCATTCTGAAGGAACTAAATTTCTCGTTCTTACGTCGTATCTTGGGAATTTGAATGAATGATGTTTGTGACACTTAGGATTTGATTTTATACCCTAAAGCTGATACCAATACTGCAGTTTTTCAAGGCTATCGCGTATTTTTAGTCCAAGAGAAAAAGATACTCAACCATTAACAATCGCAGTCCGAAATTTCAACTAATTAGAAAACATTTCTATTAACAGACAGTAAAGCGAAATAAATTTAAAAAGTTTCATACACAGAAATTTAGTGCCATGTCATAGACACAACCTCTTTAGCACTGTTTCAATTCATTCATAAATTGTTGTAATAAGATAGCGTAAGTACTCTACTAATACTCCCTACTTGTAAGTTATAAAGTTAACTCACCAAAAGCATAAACTTAGCTAACCAACGTGAATTGAATTTAGTTAGCATTGTTATTGTTGCTTTGTACTTACTTTGTAATACTACAACTAATCTTGAACAAATCTAGTCTGCAAATCGAACAAAGTAAAAACTACAATCTATCCTATGAATTGAAATATTAATATTTCATTACCTTTATATTCAATAAATCCGCAAAACTTTTACAAAGAGAAATAACGAAACGATTCCAATACACTGTCTGGACTGCACTGAATAAGATGTGATAATAACTGAATTTTTAAAAATATACAATGTATATGTAACAGTTTATTGTTTTCATATAGGTTGCATCATTTAAAAACATAAACATACATCTCGTGTTACAAATAAAACAAATATTACGATCACTCACAGTGATGAGTAACATATTATTTACGATCCGATCTTCAACACACAAATATTGCCATATCTCACTGCTACTGCTACAATCCGTGTGGTGACAGATTAAGAATACGGAATATCCCTATTCATCCCGTGAGTGTTGTAAGAGCCGAGTAAGAGAACAAACTGCACAGGACAACAGCACTGCAAAAAGAAGGAAAACTTGAAACAAACCCTTTTTTTTTTTTTTTTTTTTAACGTGTGGAAATCCCCTCGGACCGTCACCCCTCCGGGGTTTGCGGCGGGGTGGTGTGTCGGACTCGGACCGACTAAAACCACACGGTGTGCCACTCTGCGCCTGTAACAGGAGGGATCCGGGAACAGCTGTTGTTAAGACATCCGGACCCCTCCTAGCGCCAGCCCGCTCCTGGTGCGGGCTCCGTCTCAATGTTTTTGTTCCTCTCTTTAGGCGACGTCCGGCACACGCGGACGCCGCCCCCTCGCGGCTGGCCAAACTAATGCGGGTGGAGGGGAAACCCACCCCGTCCACCCGCGGCCACACTCAGGGCGGCATGAGGCTGTGGTAGGCGGGCCTCCGCCGCCCGGTTCGCCGGCGGCGGATCGGGTCCGAGTGGAGGTCGTCCTCCCGGGCCCTCTCCGCCGCCTCCTTCCGCGAGATTACTACCTCGCAGAAGGTTGCGACCGCGGTAAAACAACTGTCGCTACCGGCCATGGAGCGTACTACGGCCGGTAGCGAGAGATCCACTCCGATGACTGCAGTGAGGGCCCGGCGCTGCGCCGCCCATGCGGGGCAGACCGCCAGCGTGTGCTGGGCCGAGTCCTCACTGCAGTCGCAGTGGTGGCAGGCGGGACTCAGTTCCCTCCTAGCGACCGTGTGCAGGTACTTTCCGAAGCAACCGTGCCCGGAAAGCACCTGCGTCAGCCGGAAGGAAAGGGTCCCGTGCTGCCGCCCTGCCCACTCGGCGATGACCGGCTGGAGAGCCTCCACGGCGGCGAAGCCAGCGCGTGGAGTCTCCAGCCGGAACGACCAACGAGCCATCGTGGCTCGGCGAGCGGCTTCGCGCCACTCGCGCACATCCTCGGGCGGAGGGCGAAATCCGCTCTCCGCCCGGTAGTCAGCCACTCGCCGATAAACTTCGGCGAGCACTTCCGCCTCCAAATCCCACGGGGGAGTTCCGGCCAACGCGCACGCCACCTCCGTCGAAACGGTGCGGTAACCGCGTATGGCTCTGACCGCCATTACCCTCTGAGGGCGCCAGAGGCGTACCCTATTCTGGGCGGTCAGAGCCGCCGCCCACACCGGTGCACCGTACAGTGCCATTGACCGGACAACCCCCGTGTACAGCCGTCTTGTCGCGACGCTGGGTCCACCCATATTGGGCAAAAGTCGTCCTAGGGCAGACGCAGCGCCGACCAGCTTTGGAGCAAGCTGTCGGAAGTGCTCGTCGAAGAGCCACCTCCCGTCGAGGATCAGGCCCAGATATTTCATCTGGGCCCGAACCGGTACGAGGACCGAGTTGACCACGATGGAGGCGCCAGGGGGTGGACCACGACGGGGCCCATGAAATAACAGGGCCTCCGTCTTATCTAGGGCCACCCGTAAGCCCAGCGCCTCAATGCGCCCGACCACCAGGGAGACTCCCCCTGTGGCCAGGCGCGCCGCCTCTTGGAAGTTTGCCCCCCGGGCTGTCACCAAGGTATCGTCTGCGTAACAGATTACACCCAGCCCGGGGGGGAAATCGGCGCGAAGGGCCCAGTCGTACCCTATGTTCCACAAGAGGGGTCCAAGAACAGACCCCTGTGGAACACCGCACGACATGGGCCGACACCTCAAATTACCTTCTCGGTCCTCGTACACGACGGTACGCTCCTCTAAATAGTCTGCCACTAGCCGCCTCAGGTACTTTGGCACCCCATGATAGTGGAGTGCTTCCCTGATGCAGCTGAATGGCAGACTATTGAATGCGTTGGCGATGTCCAGTGACACCGCCAACAGCACGCCGCCACAGCTCACGGCCTCTTCGGTCACGGCCCTCAGGCGCAACACGGCGTCGACCGTCGAACGCCCCGCCCGAAAACCAAATTGGGCGTCCGACAGATCGGGGCCCACCTCGCAGAGGTGCCGGACGATGCGGGCAGAAAGAACCCTCTCAAACGATTTGCCCGCCTCGTCCAGCAGCACGATGGGCCAAACCCTATACCAACCCGTCTAGCCTACGTGGTATAGTAGGCCAAAACCTCCTTTCTAAGGAGAGACCTACGTCCAGTAGTGGACTATTATAGGCTGTTGATGACTGCTATGACCACAACACTGGAATACTTTAAATTGAACCAAAATCTTTTTTTAAAAATTACTAAAAATTTATTTTTTACGGATAACAATAACATATTCAAGTATGATGATCAATGAATTGGTATAGGCGGTTGGAGTAAAGAAATCATCATTTACAAAGAAGGCAGTTGAGGGTGTGCTTGCTAAACGTTTAAGAATGTAAAAAAAAACTCTAGATAAATACACAAATGGTTTGAAGAAAATAAGAGAAAAAAGAAGTTATTGGAGAGGAAGTGCTTCATATTCAAATCAAATAATATTCTTAAATCTTCAGTTTTCAATTATTTTTGGTTCAAATCCACGAAAATCATAATATTCGTGTTCTTTTTCCTATGTTAGGATTGGCGTAAAGTGCATTGCAAAGAGTTTTGGTTTCTTTTTATTGCGTAGTGGCTGCATGACATCATACTTCCCTGGAATAGGATATGAATTCGAGTATGGAAAATTTTATATATAGAAGAGGGGGCAGACGACAGACGGGTCACCTAATGGAAAATGACTACCATAACGTCGCATACACAGTCGCAAACGGCGTTTGAGGAAGGAATACGCTCTTTTCTTGAAGGTTTGAAGGTTGTG